CTTTTTAGTGAGACAGGGAAAGAGAGAAGGCTGGAGAAGCCGGAAGTGACTCCATGCAAAGATAGAGAATGGGTAAACCATGTGCACAGCATGAGCACAGCCAAGGAGGAAAGGACAGAAGAGGGCACATTTTTTAGGCTTTCTGGGAACCACTCGGAAGTATTTTCATAGTTGTGAAAAGTCTCAAACTTAGAATAGGTGATCATGACACTTTTACAAAATGTTATGGCTAAAAATATTACTTCCTCTAAAGTAGAACGTGGAACATTGTTCCATGATTATGTCAGTGTTTGGGTGGTGCCAATTTTATCCCTGGCTTATTTTTCCTGGATTCCAAGTGAATTCATCAGTCTTCCTTTTCATATTGCCCCTTTATTCAGTTTGAGTGAGCTCCCTCCAAAAGTCTGCACACATTATTAAAAAGTCACCTGCGAATGACTTTCTGAGTGTACAGTTTCTTTGATGAAATGGTAACCCTGACAGAAAGAATGTTCCACGTCTAGAGGGTCCTGTTCTCTTCCTGGAGCTGCCTGTGATTCGCCCCTTTCCTCTGACAAGGAGGGCAGGCTGATGTCCTCCTTGCACACATGCTAGGGAGGCAGAAAGAAGTCCTCCCGTACTCAAGACATGAAGTTCTCTGCTCATAATGGATAAAAGATTCAAAAGCACTAAAAACAACTCACTTTCTCTCAAATAGTATTTATGAAGAAAAGTTTTATAATTACAGAGGTTTTTTTAAACCAAAGTACAGTCCTAGTGATTTTTCTTTTCTTTTTCTCAGCCGTTGGAACAACCATGTTTGCAAATTCTCTGATAGGATCAGTTTCAGATAGATACTCAGCCTTGTTAAACCCATGCACCATCTAAATGACCTGGAAATTCTCATGACCTAGCATTCACGTTACATTTCACAGGTGACTTTTCCTAACCAGAAACAACATATGAAAAACAATATTTGTCTGGCATTATGGAGAGAATATTAACAGCATATGTCAATATTCACCTCTTAAAAAGATATTATTTTAATAATTTTTGCTAAAGCTTGTGCCATTGGTAATGTATTAAAAGTCCTGCATAATTGTGTAAAAAAAAAAATCTCTAAATTTTGGAGATGAACACTGAAGTATGTAGGGGCAAATAGCATCATGTCTAGGATTTGCTTTAAAATATTGTCACAGAGAAATGAATGAAAAGGAAAAGAGGGGTGGACGAGGCAGTAGGAAAACCTCGGTAACTGCTGAGTCTGCGGTAAGTATGCAAGGTTCACTCCATTGCCTCCAATTTTGAGTATGCTTCAAATTTTTCACTAAGCCTGCAGATAGCAATATTGCCACAGTGCTAATACACAGTGGCATATAAACTTTTTTATAGGGCTGGCCCGTGGCTCACGTGGGAGAGTGTGGTGCTGACAACACCAAGTCAGGGGTTAAGATCCCCTTACCAGTCATCTTTAAATAAAATAAACTTTTTCATAGATTTTTTAGACATAGAAATTCTAGACTCACTATCCTGGACTTCACAAGTTGTTTCTCAAACATGGTTATGTGTACTGTGTTCCTTTCTGTAAGATGACTGTGTACTTTGAATCTTTTGTAGAATGGCCTGACCCCACTCCATCTGGCTGCTCAGGAAGACAGAGTGAATGTGGCCGAAGTCCTTGTAAACCAAGGAGCACATGTGGATGCCCAAACAAAGGTATAGCCCCCTTTTTTTCCCATACAAAAGGAATGTGTCTATACAAAGTACCGTTTGCTGACTCCTGTGTGGAAACAACTACAGTTGTGTAGGGGAAAACCAATCCTTCAATCGTATCTTTCATACTTTGTATTTCAAATTATATTTGTGTAAGGCACACCAAAGTAGCTGGTTATAGTGTCCCAGAGACTTGACTGGAGTACTTTATCCTAGCTGCGTATCAATATTTCCCCTATGTTGACACTACTGAGCCTGGTTAAAACAGACCTGTCCTTCAGGGACAGTATGAAAGCTTGTACCTTTTTTAGTTTTTGTGATTGACTAAAAAAATGCAAATAAACAAATAAAAAAACTTGTCAGTAATTCATTACCTCTAACTTTGTTCAGCATGGTTTATGAAAAAGGATATAAGCTAAGCCAAGGTTTATTCAATTATTACTCTCTTGCTAAATTCCTTATGGTCTGTGTGGTGTCTCTCTCTCTCTCTCCCTCTCTCTCCCTCCCTCTCTCCCTCTCCCCCCCCATAAAACAGCTCTTTTCAAAAAGAAAAAAACAGTATTGCTTAATTTCATATAATGACACAATTCAAACACAGATAAGAAAAATGGATGTTCTGTGTCATCAAAGATACAATTTCAGGGCCGAGCCCATGGCGCACTCGCACTAGGGAGAGTGTGGCGCTGGGAGTGCAGCAGCGCTCCCGCCGCGGGTTCGGATCCTATGTAGGGATGACCAGTGTGCTCACAGCACTCACTGGCTGAGCGCAGTGCGGCCAATCTCAAAAAGGACAAAAAAAAAAAGATACAATTTCATATTATCTAATTTCTCTGAGTATTTTCTTTAGATACTTAATTTTGTTACCTCTTCATATCAGATTTGTTATATCTACTCTAAAATGTCTTCTTTCTTTCTGTGTGTCATGCTTGACACAAAAAATAATTCTTATTAAGTACTATGGATGTGATGTAGACAGATTATGAGGTATGTGTACATATTGAAGATACTAATAATCCAATAGTATTGCCAGGAATTAGCCAGGTGAGAAGGTATTCCAGACATCATTAGACTGAACTTAGCCTATTTTCTTTATTTGCTTAAATATTTTTATCAAGAAAGAATTCTTTACTTTGGAAATTTGCAACTTCCTGGTAAATATATTCACTTGATATTGTTTTCTTTACACACACACACACACACACACACACACACACACACACACACACACTTAAACACTTTATTAGGTTTTCTCTCCTTTTATGGATATAAAATTCTAGAAGGCAAGGACTGGGTCAAGTTCCTCAATATTTTTCTGCTCCATGCACCAAAATTGGGTCTGGAAGTATGGCGATGATTCTCAAGGCCAGGTGGGGCGGGGAGAGGAGAGTGCTGTGCCCCTTCTGCTCTCAATTTGCACACACAAACCTATTATAAGAGTCTCAGGTCTACCAGGGTTTCCTCCTAACCCAGCCCAACTCAGGTCACAGTCAGTAATCATTTTTGTGTGTAATATTTTGAAGCATGTACCTTTTCCTGCCCTTTACTAATAAGGTGGAACATCTCATTTCAGAGGGCCTCTCTCTGTCTTCCAAATTCTATTCCCTTCCTTTTTCTTCTCAGCAAAGGTCACAGCTAGCAAAAGGAAGTGAAGCTGGGATTGTCCCATAATTAGAGTAGAGCAGACATGCAAAGAGATGGTCGCTTGCACTTGCTGCTTAACTTTGGGAATAAGGAGTTTATTATATCCTATGAGCTTTCCAGTTCTCACTGGTAAAGAGGACATTCCCAAGAAGCCTACATGACGGATATATACTATTTGATTCACTGGCTTAAATGAACAAATAATAGTAATGAAAATATCAAAGGTTCTTTTCTCTTATGAGGAAAAGACCAGAAGATTTCAGTACCAGCTTTTGCAGCCTTCCCACTGGTACACTGACCCTTTACACCCCTCTTGCCCTTGTCTTTGAAGTTCACCAGATCCGTGCAGACCAAATTGTGCTGCTGGCTTCAGGGTTTAATAGCAAGTGTTTGGCTGAGATGAAGCCACTGCTTTTGCTTTCTGAAAGGATAATGTCCTCAAGCATTTTATTTAGGCCATCCCTGAAAGGCATTGCTCATCAAAGGGTACTAACTAGAGAATTAATAATTACATCAGATTTCTTTGTATGTATTTTAAAATGTGAAAAGTTTTGAGAGCTTGTTTGATACTTTCTCATTTCACATTCATTTACAGAGCTCCTACGACTTGCCTCATTCTTACCTGAGTGACATGCCCATTGGCCTCACAGAATTCATAGTCTAGAGAGGGAAACACATATTAATAACAATAACAACAAAACTAATATAATAATAGCAAAATTTATTACCCATTTCTATTTGCCAGGTACTGTGTTCTAAGCTCTTTATGTTTATTAGTTTGTTTAATCCTTACAACTACCCTATGAGGTTAGTAAAACTAGTATCCCTGTTTTATAGATGAGGAAACTGAAACATAGAAAAATGAATTACTTGCATAAGGTCCTATAGCTAATTAGTACAAAGCCTAACTTGACCATATTTATAATTTCAGAGATAAAGGTAATAATTAAATTTTTTATAAAGGTTGGGAAAATAAAGAGGAACTATGGCTAGTTCACTATCACATAAACATGAGGAAAAAAATGGGGGTCATGTCCTAAGATACTGCTAGAAAATTAAGACAATCTCAGAGGGCCTTAATGTACCAGGCTAAGTAAGCCATTCAGCTTTGCACCGTGTTTGCACTGGGAAGCCACTGCAGGTTTCAAACAGAAGAACAGTAAGGTCAGCAGTCTCTTTTACGAAGGTCCTGGGAAACAGTGCAAAGAAGTTGATAGAAGAGCTTGGAGCAGGGGCAGTTAGGCTGTTGCCAAGGTCTGGGTGAAGAATACAGAAGGCCTCAACTAGAGGCAGATGAGAAGTGAATGAACAGGAGAGAAATTTAAGAAAAACCTAAAGACATACTGACAGTAAGACTTGAAGACCATGTGTATACAGGGACTGGAGAAAAGTGAGAAATTCGGGGTGAATCTAAGGATCTGGCCTGTGTAACTAGGTGATCGCAAGTACCATCCACTGGGATAGGGAATAAAAAAGAAGCAGGTTGGGGAAAGAGGACAGTGAGTTTTGTATTAGGTGTGTTGAATTTTACATTATCTACGGGCCATCCAGGTAGAAAAAAATCCAATAAACAACTAAAATATTGATCAAGGACGTAAGAAGGAGAGCTGGACTAAAGATCCAGATTTGTGAGGCATCAGAATATATGTATTGAAGCTGTGAATGTAGATGTGACTATTGAGGAATGGACAAAGCCCCAGGATCAACAACACTTTAAAGTGGTTGGAGGAGGTGCAAGAGAGCCTGTTTGAGGAAAGGGAAGAGGAAAACCAGGAAAGAACGTAACACACATGCCAGGTTATGAAAGATGGTCAAGGAGTGTGCTTTGGGTAAGAGAGGCACAAATCCCTCTTGCTGGGTTGGCACTTAGGGTATTAGAAAGCAGTTTCACTAGGGTAGTGAAGATGGTGAGATGTAGGGAGGGTGGAGAGAACAGAGGATGAAATCATTTTTGTTGTTCAAGAAATGTCGGTTTTAAGAGCATAGAGACCTAGAAAAGAGGAGAAATATTTGAAAAGGGTGCTTTTTTTGTTTTCAAGATTGGAAACCTATAAATATGCCCATAAACTGAGAGGAAGGTGCCAGAAGGGAATAAAAAAGGAAGGAAAAAAAAAAAGGTTAACAATGTTATAAAGGTGTCAGAAGTGGGATGGGCTAGGCTAGGGTTAAAGATGTCAGTTTACTTACTTTTCTCTTATCATTTTGAAAATATTTTCATAATCTTTCACTCTTCTAATACCTTGGGGTATTTTTGTTTGGTTGGTTGGGTTTTTTGTTTGTTTTCTCCACTTTATTCACACTGATTTGGGAAATATATAATAAAGCAAAAAAACATGGGAGAAAAATTGTCAATTTTTTCCTGCTTTTAGTGTGCTGAGAATTTCAACTCTACTTCCTTCAGGAAATGAAATAGTTACAATTTATTTTCACAGAGTTTATTTTCTAAAGGAAGACTTCTCATTGTTTCTAAATGTACTTTCCCAATCTCAGTTAGTTATACTGAGCAAAAATTATGAAAAATCTATTTATCAAAACATCTCACAGTCTTCTGTGGATCTTTGCCTGCCATATTATCAATAATATTTAGTGTAACATGTGATAATAGACAGATATTCCTTAAAACAACAACACATAAAAATTGTAAAGACATTTTTTAACACTAATAAACCAAATCAGGTAACAGTTGTAGTTGTAGATGGGTATATTCACCGAGGCAGACTATTCCAAGTGGGAAAAAGGCCAAAGATGACTCCTATAAGACCACAGATTTTAGAAGGTAGGGGAGAAGGTATAGATTTCCTAGCCCCTCTTTCTCAAACTGTATTGTGTGGAGTGGCACCTAATTACTACTAAATTAAATATTGTGGTAAGGTACTAGGGATCAGAAATGCCAGTCAGGGGCAGGCCCGGTGGCGCACTGGAGAGTGCGCTGCTTGGGAGCACGGCAGCGCTCCCGCCGAGGGTACAGATCCCATGTGGAGACTGGTTCCCGCTCACTGGCTGAGCGCGGTGCGGGCGCAACACCCAGGGTTGCGATCCCGTTACCGGTCAGTAAAACAGACAAAAAGGAAAAAAAAATGCCAGTCAGAATATTTCATCTGAGCCTGTTTTATCTTCCTACACAAAAACAACCTTTCTGTTCAGCAAGGGTAACACAGTCATTCCTCTGGATCTTGTTTCCTTCTTTCAATCACTTGTAAAAGATTTTAAATATTTACTGAGCACCTATGATATGTCAGGCACTGTTTTAGACACAAAATAGTAATAGCTAACTCTATGCGTCAGACACTAAGTATCTGTTAACATATTTACTCCTTGTGATGACACTACGATGTTGGTACTTTTACTAACTTCATTTTACAGTGCATAAGCCAATGCACGGGGAGTTCAATAACTTGTCCAAAGTCACACAGACAGTAAGTGGCAGAGCTGGGTTCCACACCCAGACAGTCTGCCTCCAGGGACCATGCCTTGGCTGTTAAGCTCCCTTTTTCTCATCAGTTGGAAGAGCAATCTGATCAGTGAATGGATGTGAACATCTACCACTTGGTAATTAATAGAGGAAAAAATAAAAGTTATGAAAGACTCTGGTGTGCATTTTACAGGGTTTTGCAGAGCCCTACCTAGTGTTGCCCAAAAGAAGAAAAGAGATCATTACCGCTTATAATGATAAGTGAGGCAGCAATGGACAAAGAGACAAAGACCACTCAAAGTCTGCAGCTTTGTTTGTTTACTTAGCTATTGAAGAATAGTTTGTCTTCCCAAATTTTATTGCTGCTAGTTGGAAAGAATTTCTCAAATTCCATCTCAAGTCTGGGCATATTTGTGCAAGGTGCCGTTTTATATGGTAATGCTGTGACCCCCAATGAACAGAGGAACCTAAATCTAATCTCTCTAAATGCAAGTTGAATCTCCTTGGCCATGCACACATATTTTTAATAAAATACTTCAGTGTTTGTGGAAGAGCAGGAAGACCAGTGTCCAAGAGCATAGTGAACAAGGGAGAGTGAACAGAGATTTAATGAATAGGAGGCGGGAGGGGGTGGAGACCAGAACCAGATAAGTCCTAATAGTCCATTATAATGACTTAGGGTTTGCTAAGAATGAGATAGGAAGGTGTGAGGATGAATAGAAAACTGTCCATTAAAATACTTAAAGTGATTCAATTTCTAAACAAATCTAATTAATACGGTTATTGCAACAGCCATTGGAAATTGTTGCATTATTACTTAGGCAAGTTGACTAATAACTTGAAGAGCTCTTTAATATTTAAATTCTTCAAATATTGTCTATATTGTCTTGACTTGGGGGTCAGTCCTCTTTACCACTGAACTTGGGAATGCTACTTTAATCAGTTAAGCTAATTATCCTGAGAACTGATCGAACAAACTATTTGAAGAGCTCTTTAATATTTAAATTCTTCAAATATTGTCTATATTGTCTTGACTTGGGGGTAAGTCCTCTTTACCACTGAACTTGGGAATGCTACTTTAATCAGTTAAGCTAATTATCCTGAGAACTGATCGAACAAATTACTTTTGAGCCTCCCTTACTAAGCAGCATTCTGATTATGGGTGCAGTATCTGAGTTCTTCAGTACCAAGAAAGAACCCTGCAAAGCAGGCAAGTAGATTCTGGTCACCAAAAGGCAATATCCTCCATCATGCATTCAGTGGCTTTAGGCATTGTAAATTGGTCTTTTGTATGTACAGGAAATGTTTATTTTGAGCTTATTGGGGAGAATCTGATCTGCATGGGTGCCCTGCAAATGTGGTTTGTGGAAAGGAACCTCATGCCTCACAGAGTCAGCTTTCTAGGGCAGCATATCCCTGGTGAGTTGTCTACACCTTTGACAATCAGCTGTGGTCTAGGAATCCTTTTTTCAAATTCAAGTGGATCCATTTGCTGGGGCCACCATAAAGACACAGTAGTGGCATTACACATGAGAAACAGACCCTTGAAAACATGCACCCCCAGCCCCACCCCCCACCAGACCTGTTTAGAAATATTGTGATAAAAAGTCAGTGCTCTCTCTTTCGGAGATCTGGTGCTGCCGCTGTCATCGTGAACAGAGATTGAACAGGGGCTCTGAAATTACGTGGTGGTGTCTGTTATAGGAGACAAGGCCATCTAGAAAAGGATCCAGAATATCCTTATTTTAAAAAACAGTTATGGCCAGTTAGCTCATTTAGAATGTGGTACTTAAAACACCAAGGTGCAGTTCCCAAGATCCCTGTACCAGCCAGCCACCAAAAATGATAATAATACTTAACTAGATTTTATATATATGCACACAGTACACATACACACAAGGAGAAGGAGATTGAACTTATAGTCCCTTAGGGGTGAGTGGATACTATTTTGAGAAACAATCCATTGCGTTGTCTAAATCAGTGGGTTTCAAACTGTGGAACTCTAGTTAGGAAGGTGGGAAACTGTAACTAGAGCAAATACACCTGAATCAAGTTCATACTTCTCAGACCCCCTGTGCTCACACCATCCTCTTTCTCTTTTATTTCTGTGCTTCTTCCTATCTCTATCATGCATTCTGATAATCATCTACTGTCTGGCATGATTATTTAGCCACTTCATATTTTTTTGCTTAGATTTTAAGCTGTTAGAGAGTAGAGTGCTCAGTAAATTCTAGTCAAATCTGTCTGTAAAGCAGTCTTCTGACCCTCAACAAGAGGCCACTAGTCCATCTGTCTAGGCTGTTGCTTGCTCTACCTTTCCTTCCTATCTTGAAAAGTTGTATCAGAATAAAATGAGCTAACACAGAGAGAGTACTTTGGGAAGTTAAATAACTATTTTTATGTGTGATGGTACTGAGAATTATTAAATGCAATATTTTTTATATGGAGGACACGGTACTTTTTTCCAGCTCAAAAAGAAAGGTTAAATAATAATTTTGCTTCTATTTAGGATAAATGTCACCAACAGTATATTATAATGTTTCCTTTTTAAAAAAAATATCATTACAGATGGGATATACACCACTACACGTGGGTTGCCACTATGGAAACATCAAAATCGTTAATTTCCTGCTCCAGCATTCTGCAAAAGTTAATGCCAAAACAAAGGTAAGTTCCTTTCTCCTTTGTTTCCACCAAAATCATTGGTTTTGTATCAAAGGAAGTAAGAGTCATTTCTTCCATCTTCCTTCTACAGAATGGGTACACGCCATTACATCAAGCAGCTCAACAGGGACATACTCATATAATAAATGTGTTGCTTCAGAACAATGCCTCTCCCAATGAGCTCACTGTGGTAAGAGCGAAGGGCAGCTCAAGAGAAGAGGGAGGAGATAGTTGGGCCTGGACTCTGGTATCTTCTTACATTTCTCATCATACACCAATGTTGCTTTTTTACATTAATTAATAGTCATAAACAGAGCACTCGGTAGAATGAGGGGAAAAAGGGCAATAAACATATTGTTGAGAGCTGTTCAGAGACAGAGGTGTGATTAGTGTTTCACACTTTAAAATGACTGATTGCACTGCCACCTAGAAGGAAGTACATGTGTAAGAAAAAAGATGTGTCTGTTTCATTGATTGCTTACTTAGAACATTAGAAAGCCTCTTGGACTCCATGTGTAGCTGCCCAGACTTTGCTGCATGAATAGAAACAGGTTAGGTGGGTTTTGTGCAAGGTGTATCTCAAATGAAATAGTTTTTTATGTATGACAATGGGATGGGTCTGATGAGACACTTGCCTTAGGTTTTGTATAAGCAAAGCGTGGGGAATCAGGCTTGTTAATTCCTTGTCTGCGTTTTCCCCTTGCCAGAATGGGAACACTGCCCTTGCCATTGCCCGGCGCCTTGGCTACATCTCAGTTGTAGACACCCTGAAGGTGGTGACCGAAGAGACCATGACCACGACTGTAAGTAATGAATGCAGAACCTTGTGACCCAGTTCTCAGACAAGAGCTCTTACTGGGCTTTTCCACCATTCACAGACTAAGTGCTATGTTTCAAAATGCTGTCACCTCGTTGTTAGTAGTCAGGATAGCAGAACTTTCATTTCTGATATGAATAAAAATTTGAAACAGTGAAAATACCTTTTTATTTTTATTTTTATTTTTTTCCTTTTTGTCTTTTTTCATGTCTGGCAACGGATCGCAACCCTCAGTGTCGCGCCTGTACCGGACCGGGACCGGCAACGGGATCGCAACCCTCGGTGTCGCGCCCGCACCTCGCTCAGCCAGTGAGCGGGAACCAGTCTGTATGTGGGATCCGAACCCTTGGCGGGAGCGCCTCCGTGCTCCCAAGCGGCGCACTGTAGCAGTGCGCCACCGGGCCGGCCCGATACCTTTTTAAAAGTTGCTTTAATAGTTATGGTCTTTTTAGTTCCATATAAAGCTAAGTGTATTTATTTGTTTTTTGTTATTAAAATATTTTTATGAAATGATGGTCAAGGCAGAAATTTTTTGCCTTAGCAATGTAAGAAAATTGAAAAATCTAAGTTCGTTCTTCGAAATGGTTTAATGCACAAATAATACATGGATACATTATCATTATTGTAAAAGAATTTTACATTGTTTGAAAAAATTCCAGATAGAATCAAAGTTGGTTTTGATGACCACTTTCACTCCTCTTCTGTCCACCGATTGGAATTTTCATAGGAAAAATAATAGGATATTTTGTTAAAACGTAAAGTAAGTCTTTACCAGGAGGCCCTATTGCATCAGATACATTTTTTAAAATAAGCTTCAGACTTTGGGATAAATCATTTCTTTTAACCCTATCTGGCACCTTTGAACTGCATCAGGATTTGGTAACTTAGGAATCAGGAGCAGATATTATCCTATCAGGGGGCTTATTTGAGTTATTCCTCATGCCATGCCTCAACACACAGGCCCGAGATTGGCTCTGTACAGGTCAAATTTAAAACTCTGGGGCATTTGGATTTCAGCTCTGTCTCCTTTTCTCTCTCACCACCCTCCAATATGAAGGAAGGCACAGTTTGCATCTGCAAATCACTTTATATACAGTGTTTTATATTAAAAAAAAAACATGGTTGAGGGTCTCTGTAGCTTCCTGCAGTTTGTTATTCAGCAATGTACAGGCTTTGGAAACTAAAAAATAAATCTGCTGATCACAGAGTAATTTTGTAATTTGCTTTAATGGACTAGAGCGATGGTTATCAACCAGGGCACTTTTCTAACTTCAAGATATAGTTTGTCTAAGAGATAAATTTCCACACGTTGCTTACATATACGTCTTGAGTATTTCATTATCTTAAAATCTATTATTAAATTCTCAAGAAAAGAGTTTAAACAAATAAAGTTTATTACCCTTAATTTTATAGATATCCCATATAGCTCCCTTCAGTATAGGAAAAAGGAAAGAGGACAACAAGCTATTTAACTATGGCTAGGTGTCACAATGCTATAAAAGATTTGAAGTCATTGCAATATGTACATAAGACTTCTGCTGTGGTATTTGAAACTTTATCACACGCTGAGACACCATCTTGTCTGCCCTGCTTTAGCAGTTACATGTAAACTAGTTTACACAGGACTGATGCAATTCGGGGTGTAGTCTATGTTGTGAAGCTAATGAACATATAGCTCAGCCTCCACCACAGGCATGATCTTTGTGCAGTCAGTTACTGGAGCCCCAGCAGCCATTGTCCCTATAAGGAGACTTCAGTTTTTTAAAGCCTTACAAAGAAGAATGCCTCTTCCATATGAGAACAATGTATGATATAGCAATTCTGAGAAAGATGCTTTAGTTAGTAAGATGGCAACATTAGAAACTGAATGAGTAGAAGCTGATATTCAAAAGATATGAATCATATCTGTTTAAATTGCATTGTTTAAAATACCCAGTTCTTCCAGAAGCAGTGAGCAGAGCACCTCTAGCACCCAGATGCTGGTTCCTAATACTATTCTCTAATAAAAGGAAACAGTGCTCCTTGGGGAAGTGGCTGAATCTAGAACTAAGTCAGGAAATATACAAGATGAGCCTTGAACGAATTATAGTGCCAAAAAGCAAGGAAGTGCTCTCCACTTTCCACCAAAAACAAACAAACAAATAAATAAAAATACACACACACAAAATGATAGGAGTATGTCAAAGGGAAACAGGAATCAACTGAAAGAGTTCCCAGTGGCCAAAGCTGGAACACTTTGAGCAAAAATAAATAAGTGAAACAGTATTGGACTATAGTGCAAAGTATAAAATAAATATCCATGAGTCCATGCTGATAGAAATAAATGATTGGGGGCCGGCCCGGTGGCGCACTGGATAAGTGCGCCGCTTGGGAAGCACGGAGGCGCTCCCGCCCGAGTGTTCAGATCCCACATACAGACCGGTTCCCGCTCACTGGCTGAGCGAGGCGCGGGAGCAGCACCGAGGGTTGCGATCCCGTTGCCGGTCCCCGGTCCGGTACGGGGGCAACACTGAGGGTTGCGATCCGTTGCTGGACACGGAAAAAGACAAAAGACAAAAAAAAAAAAAAAAGAAAGAAATGATTGAATAAATGGGAAAGAAGACACAAATTTCTCAGACCAAAAGAATTCCAAATAATTTATAAAAATACTTCACCCTTAAGAAAGTGGAACACAATTCTCCACTGCTTAAGTGGGGGCTGGGCATAGTGATTTTCTTCCAAAGAAAACATAGGGAAGCAGGTGAAAATAGAGTAATTTTACAGTAGAGAAACCTAACAAATACTGGCTCAGCCAGATGAGCAAGGTCAACATCAGCAGCAATAAGTCATGTTGATGGTGTCTATCCTTGACACGATGTGATGACAATGGCACTTTACCTCTGTGATCTTCCTCCCCAAAACATTTAACCCTAGTCTAATCATGAGAAAAAAATGAGATAAACCCCAACTGAGAACATTCTAAAAAAGCATCTGACCAGTACATGTTGTCAGGGTCATCAAAACCAAGGAAAGTCTGAGAAACTGTCACAACCAAGAGGAGCCTGATGACACCTGACAACTGAATATAATAGGGTGTCCTGAATGGAAACCTGGTACAGAAAAATGACATTATGCAAAAACTAAGGAAATCTGAATAAAATATACAATTTAATAATAACATATCAATATTGGTTCATTAATTGTGACAAATGGACAATAATTAAGATTTGAATAATAGAGAGAACTTGGTGTAGGGTATATAGGAACTCTTTATACTATTTTCACAACTTTTCTGTAAATCTAAAACTATTCTAAAATTTTAATTGTATTTTTAAAAATGCTCAATTGCAGTATTACATGCTAGAAGAGGCACCAAGTAATGCTTTATTTCAATATGATAATTGGGAAGATAATTGTAAATCACATTTACCAAATATTGTTCCTAAGAGTCAATGAATCTGTACCATTTTTTAGTTTTAACAACCTGGCTTTTTTTCAGTTGTCTTATTTATATGCATCTTTCTTTGTACTATTAGTCTTTCATATGGTCAGAATTTTTAAAAAGACTCATTTTTTAAACTAAAGTCATTAAGATTTTTTTAATGAGTAATACTGACAGTGTCTTTTGGATTGATATAATTGATATAGGTATAAAGTTATCAAAGAGCAAGTAAAACAGTAAGGCATTTGCTCTGTAATATATTGTTCTTTTAAAGTTTTTGGAGGCTAAAAAATTATGTAATTTATGCCGTTTTAATATTTTCATTTATCCTAGGAGTTAAAAGTATACATAAGAGAAGACTAAATAAGTGTAAGACTTGGCACAAGCGGCAAAGACAAATTTCGTGCTCTGCATTTGGCTTGTTTTCAGCCAAGACCTTTAGTTGAATGGGGTGGTAGATTTATCAGTCCACGAAAAAGTATAGCAATGGAGTTGGAGAGGTGACATCTTTCTTCATTTTTCCTTTGAAAAGCCTTATCAGGCACCTGAGTCTTTTAAGCTGCTGTGCTTTTCCACTAGAAGTCTTTCACCTTTACTCCCTCACTGCTGTGTACATGGTGAGGACCTTCATACTGCTAAGGGACAATAATTTTGATGTCATTTTATATGTGGGGACTTCAAGATGTTCACACATAAGTCCCACAAGAAACCAACTGACAGATTCAGAAAGAAATTAATAGTCTTATTGAAATGTGTGGTCTGCTCACTGTAAAATAACTAGGCCGGCCCGGTGGTGCACTCAGTAGAGTGCGGCGCTTGGGAGCACGGTGGCACTCCCACCGAGGGTTCGGATCCCATATAAAGACCGGTCCGCTCACTGGTTGAGCCCGGTGCGGGCGCGACACCGAGGGTTGCGATCCCGTTGCCGGTCACAAAAAAAGACAAAAAGGAAAAAAATAAAATAAAATAAAAAATTTAAAAAATAAATAAATAAATAAATAAAATAAAATAAATAAATAAATAAATAAAATAAAATAAATAAATAAAAAATAAAATGACTGCTTTTTTGTTACTAGACCATCACAGAGAAGCACAAAATGAATGTTCCGGAAACGATGAATGAAGTTCTTGATATGTCTGATGATGAAGGTATGAAAATGTGATTATCTATTTGTGGTTTCCTGAAGAAAGTTTATTGCAAAAATGTTTTTAGAAATATTGAAATGTTTTATTGTAGTATCAAGAGTATGTCTTTTTCATACACTTATATTGTTCGCTTAAATCATGCAGTTCGTAAAGCCAACGCCCCTGAAATGCTCAGTGATGGCGAATATATCTCAGATGTTGAAGAAGGTATTTGTAAATTTTTATTGTGATGGAATTTAACTACCAACTTTATCTTTCATTTCTTGTCTTTGAAATTTAACACTTTCTTGAGTTACTAACGTTTCATATTATCTTAAGATTATTAATTTATGTATCATTTAAAGAGTGCATATTTGGTATTACCGATTGTCTTTAATTTCCTTTGAGTCACCTCTCCTTGAACCTATTTTCCAACTTTACAATATAAAAGTGTCACTAATTATCTGGATTCCTTTCTTTCTATTTGTTTCTATCAAGCAGCAAACTGATGTTTTTATTGTTTACATCTGAAATCTAGAAAACTGATTAATGTTTATAGTTAAGATATTTTTTTAAATAAATGAGAGGAGGTATGCTTACAGGTAAGGGATTAAATGCCCATTCTAAGGTTTACTCTGAACTTTGTAGTAAAAGAAGTTTTTGATCTTGAACTAATAAAACTCAGCATAAACAAAGCTGTTTTCAAAATATAAATTTTCAATAATGATTTAATGAAAGAGATCGAAATATGATTATAGCTATATCTCAAGTGTTTGAAGAAGCTGTTTGTTTCTGACTTATTTAAAAAATCAATATTTTTGACCAGGTTGTGATATATAGACATGTTAATAAATGACATCTTTAAAAGGTCCATTGGAAAACTATCATTTTTATAGTGAATAGATCTCATAAGGTGGGCAGATTTTGGAGTTTCACTGAAAGAATGAAATGTTTGCTTTGGTAGAATTTATATTACGTTTAAGTTTCTTTCTTGCATCATTTGACTCTCCAAAACTACATTCTACCTTACTGTGTCTTTCATTTGCCACCAATCAGGTAGTATTTTTCTCTTGGATCAATGTTAATGTTGCTAGTCTTTCTTTTATCTTTAGGCAGCCTTCCCTATTTTAATTATTGGTTCCTTCTTTGATTTGCACCAATTTCATTGGGAACCTAAATAGTGGAAAATCCTTCCCAGTAGAAAGTCACTTTAACCTTTTTGCTATTCACTGACTGCCTGTTGTAAGTGCACTGTGGCCAGAACTACACACCCGGAAGAGCTAATGATGCCCTTGTCATTTAGGGACCTGGAGGAACCTACCTCATTGTTTGTAAATATTGTTTTAATAAATGTTAAAGGCTTTTACTCCCTTTTCTTTCTTTTTCTCTAAAACATCAGCTATATATTTACTTCTCTTCTATCCCCAAATGGATAATATTTGTATCATCTTTAGGACTTTTACAGTAATATACATTACTGTTATATTTCAATGCCTTCTCACACGTTTCAGAGTAATTTCTTATGTGCAGAAAATGAAAGAAAAATGTTTTTACATAGATGTCTACACATACAAAGCATGATGTCAAAGTATGCTTTTCAAATGAAATTATTATGAAATATGCAATCATAGACCTAAAAATTTACTGGTCTTTCAACAAAATAGCCAAAACTAGCCACATTGATGAGAGGCCAAGTTTGAATGTATTATATAACTAACCAAATAATTTCAGAAAAGGAGGAATTTTAAATCTAAATTTGAATATAATTGATCTAGTTATTAACTAGAAATGACAATAATTTCCTTTAAATTTATCTTAGCTTGGGAATTTGAAATTAACAGACAAATTTTAACTATCATTTTATCCTTCTTTAAATGCCTTGGGTCTTACATTATGGGTGTGTCCATGGGCTGTTGGAGTCAAATGGCTTTTGATTTTATAATGTTGTAGAATTTTGTGTTGAAGAGGATTCCTTAAAGGTCACTCAGTCTGCACAACCACGTCCTGCTGGAATACTCTCAGCTGCTTAGGAGCTCCTTTGCCCAAATGCCTCAAAGGATGGGAATTCCCTAATTCCCAAACTGCCTAGCTCATTTTGGACAACTCTGTCCTTAAAAATTCATTTTATTGAACTTCCTGTAGCTTCTACTCATTGATTCAGGTTCTAATATATTTGACCAGGTTGATGAGGGAACTAGGTTCTAAATGGTATTTAGAACAAAATCTGCCTCTTCCATGTGACAATCCTTCAGCCATTTGAAAATGCTTTTGCTATTTCTTCTTAGTCTTTTTTTTTCCCCAGGCATATCATTGCTACTTCCTTCTGCTGTTCCCTTCACCAGCCTGGTCACGCTCCTATGCACACATGTGACAATCCTTCAGCCATTTGAAAATGCTTTTGCTATTTCTTCTTAGTCTTTTTTTTTTCCCCAGGCATATCATTGCTACTTCCTTCTGCTGTTCCCTTCACCAGCCTGGTCACGCTCCTATGCACATTTCAACTTATCTATATCCATTTCAAATCGAGGTGGCCAGAACTGAACACAATTGGTATAGTCTGATCAAAGCGGAGGACAGCAGGGCTATTGCTTTCTCCATGGAAGACATGAAACATCTATTATTGAAGATTAAGATTTGAAATTATACAGTAATGTACATTTAAGTTGACTCCTATTAAGTTTATTGTCAGCTAATGTTCCTAAATTGTGCTTACATGAGCTCTGGTAAGCCACATTTGCCCTATCATGTATTTACAACATTCTCTGCTGCATAAAGTAGCATTTCTACATTATTGCAAATCCCAGAACAAATCATTTTGAGATTTTAATTCTAAAAGGACCCCTACAACTTTAATAATAATTTTTACTTCTGATTCATTTGCCTGGTAGTCTTGCCAGGGCTTTGATTGTCACTTTAGTTGGATTTAGGGCTGCCTGTTTGAGTAAGTGTTTGAGGAAGCCCTTATGTGATTGTGGCAAATGTTCATTTCCATGAAACCACAGGCATATTGTGAATATATCTATCTATATGAACTAGTGAGAGATCATCACCTGGTATCCCAAGGACTAAGGATATCAGTAGCTTTTAAAAGCAAATAAAAATTATACACAATATATGCTACCAGTTTATCTCAAGAAAGAAAGGTGTGAGTTTTTAATATGGGAAAATAAAATTCTAATCTGAAATTATAAAAATAGAGTAAATATTCAGGAAGCAGTGCCAAGAGTAGTCTCTTTTCCTTCTCTTTCTTTCTCTTTACTCTTTTTTTTTTTTTTTTTTGCTTTGCTTTCTCCTTTATCTTTGGTCCACTGTGAGAAATTAGTGTAAGTGAAAGAATGTTTGGATTAATTTCTTTAAAAATTTTAAAGAAAACAAGTCTAGACAACATTATCATTCCATGACCTGGGGGAACAGTGGAGCCAAGACGCAGAGTAGAACAGAGAAAGGCCGAAGGATCAGCAAAGCAGAGCGGTGGAAGAAGAGGGGATCCAGCACCCTTGTCTGTGGGCTGCTTTAAGCTCACACATTTTGCAGGAAGGGGGTCAGCAGAGCTCCTCAGAGGCCAGACAGATTTGTTGTTCTACTGTTTTCAGAAAATATCCATTACAGGGCCGGCCCGGTGGCGCACTGGATAGTGCGCCGCTTGGGAAGCGCGGCGGCGCTCCCGCCCGAGGGTTCGGATCCCACATACAGACCGGTTCCCGCTCACTGGCTGAGCGAGGCGCGGGAGCAACACCAAGGGTTGCAATCCCGTTGCCGGTCCCCGGTCCGGTACGGGGGCAACACTGAGGGTTGCGATCCGTTGCCGGACACGGAAAAAAAAAGACAAAAGACAAAAAAAAAAAAAAAAAAGAAAATATCCATTACATGCATACAACATTAATATACATACAAAATTAATATCTTGATTCAAATGTGTTACATTTTTGCATTTAGTTGTTAATTAAAAGGAAAGAAAGTGTGAGATTGAGCAGAAAAAGGAGGAGGAGAAAAGAAACGAAGAAAGGAAGAAAAAAGAGAAAGAGAAACAGAGAGAGAAAGAAAAGAAAAAAATTGAGATTAAGGTCCAAGTTGACTACTAGTTTGGGTTTCCCTCCCAGGGGATTTCAGAAGTGGCTTTGGTTCAGCTCTGATCTTAAATGGTAAATTCATATAAGATGTATTTTGTAAATTGAAAAAAAAATGTATAAAATGTTATTTTAGATTGTGGAATGTTCATGGGTTGGGGTATAGTTACAGATTTAAGGAACTGTAGATAGTACATAATGAGAAATGGAATTAAGTCATGCAAAGTAAAAACCAAAAAGTCAGCTCTCTGAAGTATGACTCTACCAGTCAGGTTTATGAGACAGCAGCTGGGTGAGAAGAATTAGGTAATTCTTAGCTAGTTACAAATTCAATAGGGTTGCAAAATCTCTTTCAGGAGCAAATGCAGACTCTAAATACTAAAAGAAAATAGTAGAGGCTATGTATGCAGGTACTAGGAATAATTACCAACTAGGTATAAATTTGAGATATGATAAAGCAGATAGGGGTGGGAAAGTCATGCTCGGTGCCTGATGGAAGCCACAGCAAATCAAAATCCACAGATTTCAAAGAACTGAAGGGGCAGGTTGGGAGCGTGTCAGCCCATTCCTGCCATTATACTGATGAGGAAGGAATGCCCAGTAAATGTTGAGTGGCTTGTCCAACCAGATTAGTGACAGCTTGACAAGAAGATAGATGTGACACTCTGTGGTTTTAGATTATCTCTTTCATTGCTACTCTAACGCGATCTGTTTTATATACAGAACCAAAAATGAATATATACATTTTCAATTTTATTTATTTATTTTGCTTAAAAAAAGTGTTTAGGAAAAGAAAGAAATCATGCTCTTGGAAATTATCACAAAGTAATAATGATTATTTTTTAAAGACCTTGATGAGACTACAAGAGAAATACTTTCCTCTAGTTAGAGGAAGGTATAATATTTCCTTTTTGGCAAAAGAAATATGCAGACCAAGATGGGAATTCAAGTAAAATAAATATAAATATAATTTCAGATAGATGTTAAGAACTCAAAGCAAGTAGTTTTAGTAAACATATCAGAATATTTTCAACTAGGAGAGAATAAATAGGATTTGACTTAGCACAATCCACAACTCAAAAAAGGAGGAAGAATTATTTTGGGAAATATGAAGCTAGATCTCAAGAAAAGCACCAGGGAAAATAGCTTTTAGGACATCTT